TAACAACATCTGAATTTAGAATGACCTCTGAAAGAGACTTCTTTTGTCACTAGCAAAGTAAAAAAGAAAAAAAAAAGAGGGGGAGTGTGGAGTAGATCCCCCAAGGCATTTCCCAGTTGAACAGGGAATCAGGAAGCAAAGTGCTGTCTCGGGAGCAGTGTGTGAAGCAAACGCTTCCCACGGCACTGCCCAGGGAGATGACACCTGCCCCCCTCCGAGAGCAACAGAAACGCAGCTCGGTTTCCTTTCCAGGAATCCACTGGCTTTGATACTTTTCCAGACCATTAACATCAGTTTCCACTCTCTGCTGCCTCCAGAGCTGGATTAGAAACCTGTGTGAACGCCAAACGCCGCTGCAGTGCCCGCAGGAGCAGCCCATCCTCCTGCAGACCCAGCCCAGCCCAGCTGGGCCTCCTGCCACGGCCGGAGCCCGGCTCCCCTCGCCCCGGCTGGGCTGCACCAGGCTGAGCCCCTCTGCCCCTCCCCAGCAGGCTCTGCCCTCCCTTCCTGCTGGGAACGCTCACCTGTGACCCAGCAGGAGGAGCTTGGACTGCAGCCTCTGCTCACACGTCCCTCTCCAAACTCTCAGACCACAGCTTGCTCTGACCTTACACAGAAAGGGTCTTAAGGAGGGCAATAAATATTTAAACATCATAAAAACCTATTTCTATATAAATATAATAAATACCCATTTAAGCAAATATTTACCTCCCTAAGGTAATAAATACTGGTGTGTGACTCCAAAACAAACAAGGCAGAGCTGTGCAGGAACTGGCACCTGTAGGAGCTGCAGAGGGAAACCTTGTCCTTGATGGCATGCTGGCACACACTGCAGCCAACGCCGCGCTGGCAGCGGCCGCACTTCCCTTCCCTGCTCAGCCCAGCTTCACAGGAAAACACCTCACCCAGTAACTTGAGATCTATCCATAAAGTGCTTAAAGACCACAAAACAGTACCTTTAAGGTAGGAAATACATGCAAAGGCATTTCAGCACCAAATGACTGCTGGACAAGCAGCAGGTGCTGCGGTCCCGGTCGCAGCACGGGCGTTCCTTTATTGGAAGATAAAGCGTGTTATGTTTTTTGGGATCTGACATCTAAGCTCCAACCCAGAGGACATAGCTTTTCTCCTCTTAAAGGGAATGAAAACCTTCACCTGCAGCTCAGCAAGGTCTTGAACTGAGCTGAGAATGCTCCGGGTGGTGAGAAACGCTGTGCTTCTGGATCCTGTTTTATTTCTAAGGATTAACATGACCTGAGCACGGATGCCCAAACTTATGGATGACATATGAGCTAACACCATTTCTTAAGGTACTTGCACAAATATTTTGACTGTTTTGGGCTGAGAGCTGGCAATGTTATTTGAAAATACTACCAACAAACATATACCTAAGTATGTTCTGCTTTTGTTCTACTGCTTTCCCAGCACAGTTTCCATATTTAAGTGTTCAAAAGATGAACCTCAGTCCCACCCAAGGAGAACTTATTATCTTGTTATCTCCAAATTTCTGCCAGAATAAATATCCTTGGAAAGGTTCATATGACTGAAGTTGGGTTTCTGGCTATACAGCCAGCTGCAGCAGGATCTGGAAGTTCATACAATTGTTTCCTGCACAAAACTGGTGTAAAGAGGCTTTAATTGCTTTATGCACACATTCTGATGGGGTTGTACAGACTGATAGACTCCACACAACACAATTTTTATCCCAGTCAGAGAACAGGCCAAGAGATGGGCTGAGATTGTTCTGGAGTCAAATGATACAAACTTGTCTGCTGCTGCCCCAAAACACATCTATCTGTAATACAGCGCTGAAGATGGCCACAGGGAAATTTCAGTGGGAAAAAAAAGACAACCCTGTCCAGCAGAATACACAAATCATCGGCAGCAAGGGCTGGAACCCACTGCTCAGTAACTCCAGAGTGCTGCCGTGGTGTTAGAGCCCATCCAATTAAGTGAGGCCTGCAGAATATTTACACTCCTACATCTCTTGGTTCCTGAAAGGGTTAAAGCTTATTATTAGCATATAATTTACAGGTCCCTTCTCCCAGGAAAGAAATAATGCACGGTAAATGCCACATTCGTTTTAATAATACATGTTACAGTCTGTGCCCAACATCTGCACAAAGGTAAAGCAGACAGATTTTTTTGACATGTCCCACTCTGCCATTGAAACACAGGCTTTTTGTTTTGTAAGTGATGGAAGGTTTAATCAAGAAAGCAGGCAATTCATCAATCGAAACAAGGCTGCTCACACTGCCCTGACAGCACACACATGGTTTTATACAGAAGAAACCTGGCCACCTGTCAGCAGCACCTTTTACATCAGGATATACAAATACACTGGGTGATCAATCCTCCAGCTCTTCCCATTCATTTCTTCATTTTCTTATTGTATTTTTCTTTATGCTAGATGTTGCCCTCATTCTCTGCAGGAATAGATGGGAGACAAGGCAGGCTATGGCTGTTTATACACTATCATAAAAATTTATATACCCTTAGAGTGACTTATTTCCCTTCTATTTGAGTACCATTATTATAAATAATTTTTCACTTCATTGAGGAATTTTCCCTGTATGTTATTATCTGTGCCTGCCTGCGAGGGCTGCCTCTCCCTCACTGTGCTTGTGCCTCTGATAAGCCAAAGCAATATGCTGGCAGAAGATGCTCAAGTCTGAAATGAAGGCAGTATGTAGTCACAACAACATCTTAATTAAACTGAAGGCCATGAGGAAAGACTGTGCTGTGAAATACTGAGCCATGTCTGTCAACAGGTCTGTCTGGAGCGAGGCATTCTTCTTCCAGCAGCTGCCTGCCCCAGCATGCACATTAAACCTGGCAGCTCCTCAGCATCCTGCTCCCAGCAGCACCCACAGACATTCTGCACACCATCTTAGAGCTAATTCTGCCTTTTGGGCTGGGGTGGGACGAGGGAGGCTGCCGGGCATGAGGATGATGCCAGCAGTGCCAGTGCTGCACTGCCGTGGCTCGTGACAGGCTCTGGGCACTGATTCCCTACCTGCACCCTGCCAGGGACTCACTTAGTTTGTGCCAAGAGAAGTCTCCTTAACTTTCAGGTGACCCAGTGTGTCATGGCCAAGACTGGCAATGACAAAAGACTGGTTAAAAATTGTAATTACTGCTTTCAGGACCATTTTTTCATTGACTCCAGTTCTGTGCAAGCAACAACCGCATTACACAGCTCAAGGGGTAATGGGCAGTTCCAGTGGGGATACAGTCATTCTGCCAAAATGCATTTGAGATACAAAGTAGGATCGACAGCCAAAATTCATTTTATCTTCCCCAAACATGCTGAACCACAGCTGGGAGTGCTGCTTCCATCGAACACTGAGAAAACCTTGGCTGGCTATAGAGAGCAAAGAGAGACCACCCTGCAGCTCTTCATCCTACCCCCATGACAGCCCTCCCTTCCCAAGCAGCTCCTCCTGTGCCCACGGCAGGCTGAGGCCATGCTGAAACTGGAAGAGACTGCTCATAATGGCTTTTGTCTCCCTCAGCAGCCCCAGGAGCCCCTCTTCTGAGCTGGGAGCCAAGAGAGGGAGCCCACAGCCCGTGCGCAGCAGAGGGGCACCCTGTGTGTGCTGGAGGCTCAGCTCTCCCCACCCAGCACGCACAGGGGGAGCTGGCAGCAGCCCAGGCGTGGCAGCCTGCTCCTAAATCTCCTGTTGCCATGGCACTGCAGCAGCACTGCAGATAGCCCAGAGCGGCTGCACACGACACCGACGGAACAGGAAACTTGGGAATGGCTCCCAGAGCGCGTCTGGGGCTAATCCACCCCGAGCACACAAAGAGAGCTGTCACAGCACCTCTCTGCAGCTGCTGACAAGGCAGCCGTGGGCAGGAGCTGTGCACAAAAATCCTGTCAGTGCACAGGATGTGTCAAATGACAAGACCCTTTCTCTGGAAAGAACTCACAGCTGTAATAGCCATTACAACACATGCACAACTCATAACCGTGTTTCTGGAGGAGAATGTGCAATTGGAGGAAAAATAAAGAGTTATATACTTGAAAATGTGCTCAAGCAAACATGAAGATCTAATGCCCTGTCTAGTTCTACAAGGCCTTGTTTTGTGCTCTGCCTGTAAGGATCTGGTAAAGTGTTCAGGCTCTCAGTAAGGCAGGCACCTCCTGAGGCTGCACCAGGAGCAGAGGCCAGCACATCCTGTAGCAAGGGCAGCCCCACGAACACCACACAGAGCTGCTGCAGTTGGTGCATTTGGTGCTTCCCCAGGAGAGAAAGCACAGCTTCCCACCCCCATGCAGAATTGTCTCATGTGAACACAGGAATACCTTCCCTTACATTTCCAGTTGGTGCATTTGGTGCTTCCCCAGGAGAGAAAGCACAGCTTCCCACCCCCATGCAGAACTGTCTCATGTGAACACAGGAATACACCTTCCCTTACATTTCAAAATGCATTAGGGCAGGAGAGTAACAAGAAAAACGAGGGCTGACAAGGATTATGCAATTCTTACATTCTACCTCTTTGGGAACCTGAAGCTGCAGTTTCAGGCAGAGATTACCTTTTAAATAACCCTTTGATTATGGTACATGAATTAATGCCGTGTTCCCATGTTACAAGTGTCACTCACTATTAATAGGAGGAACCTGTGAATGGTACATTTTTGCCATCTTCTCTTCCCTGATTATGCACAAGCAGTTTCAGCTGCTCAGCCCACTGAACCAACTGCTCCTAAAATCTCCTTCAGCCAGATGATGGGACAGACTTTCATTAGGCTTTGACAGAGTCAGGTTTAAATCCACTATCTTCTTCCTCTTGCAAAAACAACATAAAAGAGCAAAACTTGTGCCAAGTGTGATTCTACCACGCCTATGCCAATATTTGTTCAGGTGTAACAGCACTACAAAAAACCCCTCCATGAGCAGTTGTTGTGGCCCAGCAGGAGCGAGTGAGGCACTGAGCAGGGCAGTGTGGCCAGCTCACCTGGGATGGTGAGCAGGGCAGCGTGGCATGCAGCTCACCTGAGATGGCATACAGGTTGGAGTGCTGGTGCTCCAGGTCCAGGCGGGTGCTGTGACTCTTGCCCCGAAAGCTGGCTGGCAGCGTCAGCGAGATATGCCTGAGGGAAAGGGAGGACACAGCAAATGTTACTACAGCACAAGATGCTGCTCCTGTCAGCTCACTGCAGCCCGACGATTCCAGCCAGGTTAAGCAGCAAACACCAATTTTCATATTGCTTCCAAAGCCATCTACCAACTGCTCAGTTCAGCCCCCTCCAGCCCTCGGAGGCCTGGGCTCAGCCAACAACCAAGGGCTGCAGCAGTGGCCATGCAGCCCAGCAGGGCACTCAGCCCCAGCCAGGTACAGCAGCTGCACAAACAGAGCCCACCAACAGCCAGCACGGCTCTGCCCCTTCAGCTCAAACCTGTTTCTTCTAATGCAGAGCCCCGGTCTGTGAGAATTCTAATAAAATGTTATCGTTCATCTCCTGGACTGCATTGCCACACGTGAAAAAGCCACTTTCCCTTCACAGAGGGGCTCAGGGCAGCACGAGGCAGAGGGAGCAGGTCCTGCCTCACTGAGTGAGAGCTCCTGAATCCGGGCAGCCACCGAGCATCGCCCTCCTGCCAGGAGAACCAGCAGCCTTTGTGTCCCCTTGGACGCCCCGGTGTGAGACAGGGCCCCGGGTATTCTCCAGCAGTGCATCCAACCCGTGTCCTCAGCCAGCACATTTTATCTACCACACCAATCATCTGGAAGTTATCTGCCTTCAAAAACAGGACATGTTTTGGGAAGAACAATGTATTTTTAGCCCTTGATGCAGATGATGGGGAGCAGCACAGATAAAATAAGAAAAAGCAAACATCAGTCTGAGTTTGCTTGTGCTTTTCAAAGCTATTTTTAACCAAAAAAAGATGGTGTGAAAATATATTTGAATTTGGCTATCAGTTTGCTGTTTAAGACACAACCCACATGAGAGTGTCTGGAGCAGAGGCATGTTTGTTATGAACACACTTTAAAACAGGAGACCACTGCCTGTGGGCATGACACGCTTCTCGTTTGATTTTTAATAGAAGTATTCAAAAATATTTTCCAAGGCACCAAAGGCAGCCAGTGGAAAGACTGAATTTCTCTGCCCTCTATGAGGAGCTGCTTTCTTCTCAGCAGAGACAGCCAGAGAGATGTCTCCAAGAAGAACATTAGCTGCACAAGACAGGGCAATGACTGCTGGATGGAAATCAGCTCTCCCCTTCCCTCTTTCTTTTTATAAAAGATGACATTGTAGGGAGGAATGGAAAACAAAGCCTAATTTATTTTAAATTAATGTAAACTTTGGCCAGGATCAATAGAGCTTATACCTACAAACTTGATTGCATAATGCATTTTCCTTATGTGTTATGAGAGCCAAATCATTTTGCATTGTAGAAGACAAAAAAAAAAAAGAGGCTGCCATTGAAAAGCAAGAAAATCCCAATTACGAAGTCCCCAAGTTCCTAAACACATATCGTGAAAGTATGTGCAGTTCTGTGGCATATGGCAAATCAATTACTAGTTTAAATTTTAAAACAAAAACATGGTAAATGTGTTGCACAAATAATCAAGAACAACGGTTTGGTTTAGATTACAGCGGCCACTAGAGTTTTGAATACAATTAATCATCATTCCAGGCACCAGGAAGCCATATTGACGCTTATTCCTAATTTGAATATTTAATTAGGGTGAAGTTCTTCATCAAATTATCACAGAACTGGGAGGAAAGCCTAAAAGATTTAAACAATTACTGCTTTAACCCTTACCCAACTGCTCACCTGTGAGCACAACAATCTCTTCTGTTCTGCAAAGCTGGAATATGATCAGGCAATGTGACAGGACAGTAAAATGCACTAGAAATACCCTGGGAAAGGGGAACAGACACCCAGCAGCCCAAAGGGCCTCTCTGGAGAGGCCAGGCTGGCACAGACTGCTTGTGCTCCTTGGCCTTTGCCAGGGCAAAGCTTTTGGGCTACATCTCTATTTCAGCATCAAGGGGGTTCCTTCCAGGGCGTTTTTGGTTTGGGGCTTGTTGTTGGTTTGGTTATTTTGAATTGAAGAGCCTGTCCACAACCTTCCACCAGGGTCCTGCTGCCCACAGCTGACCTGGCACAGCCACCTCCTCCATCCTGGGAGGTTTCCCAGCCCTGGCCCTGCACCAGGAGCTCCTGGGATGGGGCTGGACCCCAGTGCTGCTCCAGCAGCCCATGGGCATCCTCCCTCTGCACAGCCCTGCCTCCCATCGCTCCAACACCCCTTTATGTGCTGTATTAATCCATATAAGAAAATCTCTTTTAATGAGGAGTGATATACTTATGAACTCTCTAGAGTCATAATTAGAGCAAACTAATTGAAGTTGTGTTTTGACACACTTTCCAAATTCACGGGTACTGCATGACATATTCACAGCACTACTGCTGCACACCGTGGTGACAGCAAAATCATTAGGCTAATAACACTTATTTGCATTCTGATCATGCCAGCAGTGGCCGTTAAATGCTGCCTCAACCAGCACTCGTTTACTCAGAAAGTTTCCACTGGAAGATATTAACAGTAATTATTAGTACTTTAGTGAATCTCTGATGTTAAGGAACGGCACCTCACAAAGACTACCCCCATGCCAATTATCTGCCTTTGGAATGCCACCAAGAGCAGCTTTCCTCCTCCCCAAGGACAAGCAGCGAGGCAGCTTGGCACAGCGGGAGGACAGAGGGTCCTGGCAAGGCCAGGCCCAGGGCTCCAGCCTTTCCCTGCTGCTCCAGCACTGCTCCAACACCAAACGTATTTCTCCCCAGCACACGATAATTTCAAGACAATTTAGAGCAAGTTTAATCACCCTCTACACTTCAGTTGCTCTTTTATTCAGCAAACCCACAGAACAAGTCAGCGTGTGATGAGGAGATCCTTCACGTGCAGGCTAAGGGGATTTGAGGTCTGTGCACATTATGGCCACTTTTTGAACATTTTTGGAGAGAAACTCACATAAAACAGGCCCAGGAATGCCTGACAGTTCCAAACCTGTTATTAAGAACTGTCTGCAGGAAGGTGATGAACTGCTTTTGAAGTGAGGGGGCAAGTACTCATAAAACAGAACAGAGGATCACAAGGGGAAGTGCCAGATATCAAAGGATGCTTCGTAATTCATATAAAAATATCAACAATGTACAGCAAAAGCCCAATGGTAAGTTGGGCTTTGGACCCAGCAGTGACAGACAGGGTGGTACAAGTGTGACACCCAGAGCAGCAAAGTTTGATTTTTTCACAACAACCTTCAGAACAGTGCTGCAAGACCTCATGGGAATACCTTAAAAAAAAACCAAAAAAACACAAACTCAAAAAAACCAACCTTACTTTTCATAAACAATGATCATGCAAAGATCATTCCTCATGAAAAATGGAACAATTAAATTTCAAGCTGTAGAAAGCTGAAAACACACCTAAAATGAGTTAATACCAGGCTGCAGCTCTCAAGAAACGTAAATCCAGCATGGAAGCTTTGCTTATGGAGACTGGAAAGGCACATTTCTGAGAAAGAAGCTGCTGGGGTTCTATGAAGCAGAGGAGTAGGCAACCACCCGCTCTGGCAGGAGGCATCCCAGGCAGCAGCTTGCAGCCCCTGCCACAGCAGGTATCTGCCAGCTACAGCATTCTTCACAGCCCTTAACTTTGACTGTGCTGGGGCACTGAGATGCCAGAACACCTACCTCATACTCCAAAGAACTGCAATGAAAACCTAAACTGCGAGGCAAGAATCACCTCGGGTAATGGACTTCATTCCAGACAATCTATTCTAATCGTGTAAACCAAATATTTAAATACTTTTTAAAACCTTCCTGACCCTTTCCCTAAAACAAGCAACATATGGGCTTTGCAAGCATTTCATCTCATTCCAAGCTACTAAAATATCCTGTTTCCTAAGAGTCAATGAGAACTGGGGGTGCCAGATTCAGATTTTATAAAAGCCCAATGGCAGGAGAGAATGAAAAAGAGAGTGAGCGATTCTTTCCACATCCAGATCTCCCCAGTTAGCTTTCCCAGCTGCAGGAAGGGAGCAGGGCGGTGCACAGCCCACACGCTGGGCCCAGGGGTGCCTCTGGCAGCCCCCTCCCCAGGTGCCTGCACCCAGGGGATGCTGAGCCCCTCTCTGCCACAGGAGCAGAGCTGCCTGCATGCACAGCCCACGAGGGCACAGGATCTGCTCACACCAGCAGCCCAGAATGAAAGGCCTGATGCAGAATGAAGCTCCTGCAGCTTCCTCTACATGGGGATTAATTCAGATCAGAGGACTTGAGTAACTAGGACAGAGCAGCTGCCAAACAATAGAAAAAAAAAAAAACCCAACAAGTTTAATTTACGCCGCTTGGAAGTCTGAGCTGCAGCCCATTAAATCCTTCCAGGCAGAGGCTGCATCAAAGAGCTGAGCCCTGGCACTGCAAGCATGAAGTGTTTATGAAGTGGCTGTCTCAGCTGAGCAGCGCCGTGTCTCGGGAGGCTGCGGCGCGAGCGCGGCTTCCACATCCTTCACGAGCTGCTCTCCAGAGTCAGGACTTTTCAGATAATGAAGCAGTAAGGAAAAATTGCCAAACAGCAGAAATACTCCAGAAAGATAAATTACACGTGGTGTAAGCTTCCTGGGTTAGGATTTTAAATTCTGCCCAATTAATCAGCACAATGCAGCCAGGCTCCCGGGCCAGATGCAAAGCCCCTCTCAGGGACCAGCCCCTTGCTGGGGACTGTGGGGGCTGCTGCCCCGGCAGAGCCCTGCCCTGCAGGGCTGCAGGGACATCCACGCCTCCCCTGCAAAACCCCTTAAACAAATATTCCACATAAAGACTCATTTGGGAAGAGCACATTGTCAGCACTTTGCCAGTAATAAATAATGACAGTCCAAACACTTTACTAAAAGCAATAAACTCAAGAAGTGTTTTGGAAAATGGTGAAAGTGATTGATTTAAAGGAAATATCTGAACACAACCACATGCATTTCAGGGTGAAAGCACAGATTACAAATCAGCAGTGGCAGAGATCATATTAAATAGCAGACAACACACAAGTTTTAGGGAAAAAAAAGCTCAGTTTCCCTGCAGG